CCGTGCATTTGAAAGACAGATGAAAAACAGTCCCACATTTTCTGCATCAGTCATTTCTATTTGGTTCAGCTCAGAATAAAAAAATCTCTCATATTTTGCTACTAATTGAAGAATTAATATAAAAAACATTGAACACGTTGCTCTGTTGGCAGAAAACAGCAATTACAATTACAGTGGACTTACACTATACAAGAATTTTTTAAAATAGAAGGGGAAGAAAACATGCTGGTGACCAGAGTCTTTTTGAATCTACAGAGGATACTGCAGCTTTTATTCAGGTTGTGAGTGATCCCTGTTAAGCATCCTTGGTTCATGAAGGTCTACTCACTATATCCCTATTTAGTCGCTGCCTCATTAAGCATTTTCTAGTAGCTTGGAGTATCTCTGATTCACTCAACATTCTTTCTCTTTCCCTTACACAATAAGACAGGCTTAAAATCCACTGTACATCCCTCTAACTGTCACACAGATCCCCTTTATCAATTTCCTATTACAAACATTAATCACTGAAAATAACTACTATTAAAAAGAGACTAACTCCATTTTCATCTCCTCCTTTTGTTATGTGTTATCTGGGAGAGTGGTTAGGCAAGCCTTACAGTGGAGTAGAAAAAGTCAAACATAGAACCTGTATGTAACTGATTTTTTGAACAGAACTGAAAAGAGAGCAATAAGCACAATATGAGCAAGCATTGAATCCACTTAAAACAAGAATCCTTAACTTTTCTTGCTGCAGGAAACAAATGAATGCTGACAATATCAAACATTTTGTTCTGGTTGCATGCAAGAAAAGTAAAGCAGCAAATGCCGTGCTACAAAAAACCCTTTAGAAAGAACTATTTACTGTTAAGTTAGGAACTGTAGGATCACAGCCCAGGGTGCTGTGCGGGACAGCCATGTTTCACTCTCTCCTTGGCCCACAGGGATCTGATGTACCTACATCCCTCATCAACATCACTCCCTCAGCCACAGCACCATGGAGGCATGGCTCAACTCTTCTGCCTATTATCAGCAGATCTTAAATCGTTTATAGGCAAAATTATTGCTATTATCATTGCCAATAAAAAATGATGAAGATTTTCTCTTTTTATAGAGGACAGAATAAGTTTTTTCACAGAGTGCCACTGGCTGGTCCAGGTGCTCTTTGTGGTGCTAATGCCTTCTATCACATTGATGGGATTGAACTCGTCTTTAAGGCCTCACGTGAAAAATCATGGCTGATAAGCCAGCATTATCCTTGTCCCTTTCATTTCATACCTGCTCCTAGGAATGCCAGAACTGTGAAAAGATTCACTATCCTTTCTTTGATAAGCACTTGCTTATGAGATGTATAAATCTAGTGCTTTTTTTCCTTTTTCCCACAAGATAAAGAAGACTGAAAAAAACACAAAACGGGAATGTACAACTGTACAACTTAAAACATAAACAACAGCAGAACTCCATAAGCACACCTTCATCTTCAGTTCTGACTGGGATAAAATAGCTGTTTTGATAGTGCATTCTGGCCCCATGTCTTTAAAAATGGTGTGCCACAACTGGGTAGCATAGGGACAGTGTGCTGCCTTGAAGAGGTACCCAGCACTTCGGATTAGCTCGCATAGGACACATGACTTCTCAAAGTCCTGCCAGTTAACAAAGATGTGTTAGAATTTCAGTAGGGGCCAGAAATAACAGGAGCATCATGAGTCAGGACTCAGATAGGCTGATAAGCTGGGTCAGGACACAGATGCTGAGACTTCAGCATGAGATCAGACTGAGAGGCGTATGAATCAGGAAGCAGTGAAAACATAGGCGGCGTGGCAGTGTCTTTGTAACACTGAGTTGCGTGTGTACAAAGAAAACAAATCATAAACCCAAAGAAGATGAAGACCAACTTGTGATACTGCCCCATGCTATCCAATCAGCAGCATGCAGTATTTTTGGAAAGTGTTATAAGGACATAAATATTTGTACTTTTCCCTTTAAAAATAATGTGCATCTGAACATTAAAAAAATTGAACAATCAACTCTGCAAGATAACCTATTTCTATGGAGAAAGGATAAAGCATTAAATACTTGATATTATTTATGAATTTATAAATCAAAATAAAATTTTAAGGTTTTCTGTTAATGAAATTAAAATGATCATCAGTCTTTCCTAAGTGTCTATAGTAAATAGTCACAGTCCATTAAGACAACATGTTAGAATTGTTCATAACAGGATGCAAATGAAATAATCAAGTAATCAGGACTATTTCAACATCAATAAAGCCTCAGAGTGATTATTTTGTACAGCCATGACACAGTACCTTTTTGCATACTTTCCCTGATCAGATTAAAGTGATGATGAATTCCTCGATGGCTCAAGTGTGCTCCAAGGAAAGCTAGAAGGTTGTACAGTTAACTCCCAGGGTGTAACTCTAAACCATACAACCTACTACCTCAACCCGGATGCACACAGCTTCCGACGGTGACCATAAAGTCTTCTTCACTTCTTCAGCCTTTCTTTGAAATGTGACAGCAGCCACAGGCCTATATATTTCCCATGGGGGTAGGCTTTCAGCTGTTGAAATAGTCTGCAGTTATTCCCCATTTTTTCAGATGACAAGGTATATTCTTAAACAGATTTTTCAACTAGGTAGAGATTATTTTCTATCATGTTTATAGGCATATAAATATATAATGTATGTATAATGTATGTTTCTATGTATGTATTGATATGTACTTATTTGATAGGAATGATGCAACTATTTTTTGAAAGAAACAACTATTTGGTCTTATTTTACAATAAAATTCAAATGTAAATGTAAATATCTTTTTTTCTAGCGTAATCCCTTGTAATGTTGTATTTATTAAAAATGGCAAATGGTACACCCTACTCTTCCTCACTGAAAACATTACAATTCCCTCACATGTCTCTTTAAATTTTGATAAGATATTAAGCCAAAGGTACTTGAAGCTACAGATGACAGAACAAGTCACTTAAATTAATTTGAAGAAGAGGCAATAGACAAGAGAAGCATTCCAAAAACAATATATAGTTTTGTTTGAAATGCTCACTTGGGTCTGTTGTCAAATTCCACTGAAGTGCATGCTACATAAACTTTTGCCAGATCACCATACTGACACAGACCCATAGAAGCGAGCTTGTGCAGTGCGTTTCAACACAAGATCGGATCTACGGGTTTATGCCAATTGGCATCACTGATTAGCATTTTCCTTTTAAAGTTAGACACAGAAGACTTTAAACAAACAAACATAGAAAGCAACTGTGAGGACAAGTACTTGAGAGTAAAAATATTGCAGTCATAAAGAAGGCTACTTAAAACTGCATAAATGGTGGATGCACCACTGTTTTGACTTTGGCTGGAATTAATAACCTGTTGAGCACACTTCGTGTTACCCATGAACTCTCAAATCCCAACAACTGGAATTGAATCATACTACAGCACACAGCCCGCAAGACCAGAATCCAAAATTGTATGTGGCATAATAGTGAACAATAAGGGTTTGTATTCTGTGCCTGAGCCCACATTTTGTTTTGCAACTTAAAATAAACATCACCCCACTAAATCTGAAATGCAATGAGGCACACTGGATTGCAGCTCTCATACAACATTAAAAAGACTGCTTAGTTATTTCTTCATTCTACAGGGTATCTAAGTACTGATTGACTACAGCTTGTTGATTAAACAATGCCTATTAATCAAAGCAAAGAAGCTAGTGTGTATATTTTATTCACTAATCTTCCCATCAATGCTGTTCTCTAATAATAAGATTGCAGTCGAAGTAGAAAAGCAATCTTGCAAAACTTCAGGGTTAACTCCTACAACAAATGCTTTCTTCTTGTGACCAGTAAGAAGTGAAATATAAATTATCAGTCCCTAAATGTAGGATGTCCTACTGAAAAAGATCAGTAACAATCAGTAATGTAAAAAGGTGAGATACAGATGTGGCATTATAACTTACATATTTTAAAGGAAAGCATTTATAAGCACTGCATCAGAAAGCATAATATCTGACAGCAGGCATAAGAAGCTGATATAAATTTAAAAACAGGTACAATAGAACAGTCGCTTCTGATTTTAGCAGCTTACAGAAATCTGTATCTGAATAAGTTTTTGATGCCTGACTTCCACTGCTTTCCACTGAAGGCCTAATTCTGTCATCATTTGTCGGGTAAAACTCCTTTTAAGAGAGCGAGCGCTGCCAATAACAAAGTTTTTGAATCAGGCCAATGCTTCACTTTCTTGCAAACTTGTAACATGTATTTCTGCTTCAGTAATGACAGCTGAACATTACTAAATGGCCCTTTTATTTTTTAATTTAGTTGATTTAATGCTACATTTTCCAGTATACTCTTGTGCATTTTAAAAATAGTGTCAACTCCTTTTTATTCTAGAGCACTATGTTTTAAACCTGCTTTCACATCATACACAACGCTTCAGCATTCAAAAGGAAAGACATTTTTGTAATTATTTTCTGCTGATGCTTGAGAGAATAAGTAAGGCAAACCTCAAAGTACAACATTTCTCCTAGTATCAGAAATAAGTGTGTAGACTGCATATTTAATTTACTGAATGATTCTAGTAAGTGCTATAAAATGGCTTCTCTATTTTTCTTTTTTCTTATTTGTAAATAGAAGAGGCATTCCACATTTCACAAGCACTTGATCTAGTATAATCATTTACTAGTAAATGTACTTGTTCAATGAATATGCTAGTAATATAAATATAGCAGTACATGTATTTGTGAAGCATATTTACTAGGCATAACAAGAGAATAACTTGTATTTTGATCTTTCAATCTATTCTAAAGCTTCATGGAAACAATAACTATAAGGGCTACCCAAACTGCAATAATCCCAACAGAAAGTAATCACGGCAAAGGTTTTATATGTATCTATAAAATGATATTTGTAGGAAGGAAAGGAAGGAAATTCTATTAAAGCTAATCTGCTTCATGTTATTGTCATGAACTTTAATTTATAACAGGAAAATTATTTAAGATCACTGTATTACCTTCGCTGGATTCTGCTCTGGTACAATTAACTTCTTCAGTTTCCTTTTTCTTTTGAAATTTTTTCTTTCACTAAAATGAATGAGAGAGAAAGATTTTGAAATAACTGTTCTGTGGAAAGTGTTTCCAGAACAACAAAAAATTAGAAATTATGCCTTTAATACATAAAACTGACACACTGCTTACGCCCCTCTCAGGGCCATGGGAAGACATGCTGTCAACACATACACTTAGACAAACGGACAATTTCATTTAGCATTTCCTAATCCTATTACACCTCACAAATATTTTATTTTTAAGAGGAACACCAGAAGAGAGGAATGCTTCACAAAAAATGAAGAGTTTTTATCAAATGGTGAATACAACAAGATAGTTTGGTACGGAACTGCACACAAAGGCTATGGCTTAAATCATGAAATCTTGAAAAACCTAAGGGAATAAATACTATCAATATCATGAACTATAGAAATTTTTAAAAGTTCTTTTAAGCAAATGAAAGCATAGGATTCTCAACAGATGTAGACAGTAATGACACAGAATTATTCCAAAAAACACGACTCGGGAGGAAAGCATCACCATAAATATAAGGAACACTTTCTTGTACAAAATGGGCGAATGGAGGTATATGTGTCATATACATAAGATCTCCATCCATAGTTTCCCAGAATTCATTGCAGAACAACAAAAATATAAGGTAGCAAAATTAGCATCAGATCTTTGGACTTATTATCTAAGCACTAATGCATAAAAAGCAAAGTATTAAAAAGCAATTCTATTTTGTGAAGCCACAATATATTTGTAGCCTTTTCATTAGACAAGCATCTATCACGAACATATTGATAAATACGTCAGAGTTTCTGATGAAAAAGACATTGCAAGTTTCAAAGTAATTTCTAGCTGAAGATTTCTGTATTTTAAATATAAATTTAAAAGACAAGGAAAATAAATAAAGAAAGAATCCCAAACAGATAAAAGACTGATTTGACTGAGTATTTTAAAATACGTCAGTCAAGCTGAATTTTGCTACAGACTGCTCTAACTGCCAAGTAATATGTTACAAAAGACAGACAAATGTTGTAACAAACAGGGTCTACTGCTAAAGCGTCATATGCTCCAAACTTGCTTTAACTTCACATGCAGTTATCACAAACACTCTGAATGGATATCTTAAATACTGTTTTCAGCTATTCCTGGACAAATGCCGCTTTACCGAACATCTTAAAATAGTCACTGTTACTAGCTGCAAGCCAGGCTTACTTCATGAACGTCCCAGTAATGTGCCTTTTATTCCAGGGCTTATTACAGTGATTTCTTTGTAGTGGATTTATATACAAAATGGTAAGGAACTCATATACAAATTAACTCAAACATAAATTTAATATACTCGATACAAGAGCAAGCCTTTCCTACCGGTTAGCAAAATTTTTTCTTCCTCTCTTTAGAAACCGAAAGCATGAGTCACACTATAAAAAAAGAATTTACTTTCCTTAGCAACCAGATCGAAATACCCACAACTTTCGTAGCAAGAACCACAGCTTATACTGAATAAATGTAACATTACAATCTTTGCTTAACTCCAGTGCTTAGCTATGATAAAATGTGCCTAAGCGCTTATTTCCACAGAACCTCGATTTTTGTTTACTTTCTATTTTTAGCAGCATTAGCTTAAACACAGCTCCAAAAAGTTAGTTTTAAAAAAGTGTGAATGGCTATGTTAAAATTAATACACAAGGACTCAGTTTCAAAACAACGTTTAAAATGGAACAAAAAAAAAGGAAAAAAAGGAAAAGAAGCTATACCTGATATGAAAGGTACGTTTTCACCCAGTGCCAAATTTTGCTATATTAGCAATAGCAAAACAAACAAAAAAATTGCCTTCTTTCTCTTTTGTTTTTACTGAAAGAATCAATCTCCTGGGCTCATTTTGCTACACTGCTTTAAGAAGCTCTAACACATCCTGATGTCTCTGCAGTGAAACATGCCAGGTTTTTTTTTGGAAGCAGGAGAGCCACTTTTTTTTTTTTCTGCACTCTTGTATGTAGGACAAACTCAGATTTGTTTCTTCTTCTGAGGGCTCCTGTTATTTCTCGGAAGAAGACCAGGATGCCTGTCTTCTCTCTCGCTCTTCTCGGAATTCCAGGCACAAAGCACTGCGCAAAAGCTGCACCAATCCTTGCCGCCACCGCCTGCACAGTGCGAGAGGTGGGGAGAGACCAGAAAATTCACCTCGCCCCTGTGCCGGTTTTATAAATGGGGATTGCACAAATCTGCCGAAGCAAAGGGGTGAAAAGGCAGGGTGCCAGTTTGCTACACTATGCTGCAATGAGCTCATGTTCAATGCTGTCGCCCCATTTGCCCAGTTCAAACGCCTGTTCATTAAACACGGGGAGGAAAAAAAAAAAAAAAAGGAAAAAAAAAAAACAAATCACTTTTATCCTTCAGACACTCAGGAGGGCTGTTCTGAACTACAGATCAGCAATAAAAAAATACAACACGTAGTTTAAAAATGCAGTTATGAAGTCTAAATATTCTGCTTATATTTTCTTTCTTTCTTTCTTTCTTTTTTCTATTTGGAGATAAGAAGCAGAATTTATCAGGCGTGAAAGGGACAGCCTCCTGGTGGTGTGCCAAAAAAGCCAGAATAAAGGCAAAGTTGTGCTTCAAAGCTCAATCGCTTGCTGAGTCTGGCTAAAGTCAAGTATTAAGATCCACCATTTTCTGAGCCATGTAAGAAATGAGGAAAAAAGTCAGAACGAGTGCTGCTTTCCAAGTCTCCGTTGGCACCATCACAAAATCTCAGCCGTAAGGTCACATGATGCTCTGCCAAATGTGGAGTGCATTCCCATAAACCATTCTGCTGATACTGCGAAGGCAGCTATTGTCTAGTTTAGACCCAAAGTTCAGCCCACTCTTCATTGAATTAGCTGAAAAACGCATCACCTTTGGGGGTTGGGAGCCATGGAAACGTCTACCTGGCAGGCTGCCCACTTTTGCTGCCCATCAACCAGAGATGGGATTGTGCTGCCTAATGTAATGATGACTAGGAATGTGAAGAGTCGTCCAAAGTGAATCTGATTCTCGCAAAGCCTGCTTCATTTGCACAGCAAACTCTGGCTTCTTGTCGTTAAAAAGGGGAGGGAAAGGAAAATAAAAAAAGGCTTTACACTAAATGTAGCAATTAAAGGTCTAGTAAACATGCCTCGTCTGCAACTTTCCTTCAAAACATGATGAAATGGTTCCCAAACTAAAGGACTTGGTGCAATGCAAGTTTTGTGATTTAAAGCAGCTTGTGCTTTTCCTGAGTTAATGTGGCATCCCCAGGATGTTTTTTTTTTCTGCTTAAGAAAAGCACATAAGAGAGCTCTCATTTCTTCTCTTCTTTTTTACCTCCCTTTATTACCTCCTGATTTTATCTAGCACAAATTATACACGCGTGCAGCAATACCCACTAGTAACGATGGAGAAGCAATATTGCTGCAATCCTTCTGAAAGCAGTCTCCTGAGAAAGCTGATCATGTCTCCAGCAGCACAGAACCTTTCATCTAAGCCCTCTTGTCACCTGTGAGTAGGACAGCTGCTCCACAAGTTTGCAAACCAGCATGTCCAGACCATTCAGCACCCTCCCATCTTCAAAATGCATTTAATCTCGTTTTCTTGAAAAGATGCAATCAGACAAGAATGCAAAGAAGACACAAGTTATTTAAAATAGATAAAGACTACTACTAATTCTTAGTAACAGACTTGGAATTTCAGACTTGAAATTTCAATTTTGCCCATCTATTGTTCCAGTATAAAATGTCACACAAAATGTCAATTCCAAATGAAAAAACCATGCAAAATATTGAGCAATAAATACACACACTGCCAGCACATAAAAAGTTACGTAGGAGAATTTATCTTGGGGCTGTGCTGTGAACAAATGAAAAAGGTCCACTCGGTGCTTCTACATCACAAAGTTTCATAGCTACTGCAAAAGAGATGTTAAAAACGAGGTAATTTCTATGGTCCCCACACTAATAAACATGGAGCCATGGGAGAAGCTGCTCTGCATTAGCATCTGCAGGCAGTCGCACAAGCGCTGCTGTGAGGAGGAGGTTGTGTGCTAAAGAGTTTATGACCAGAAATTAAGGAATGGCAAAAACAAAATGGAAGACAACAGGCTGGAAACTGCAGCAGAAGGACAGGAAAAACCATTCCAAGGATACCATAGGCAGTAGTCACTAGCTCTGCTTCCTTTCTGCTTTTCAGTGCTTCTTTCTGATTTCATTGTATTTACCTGGAGCAAATCAAAGGACAGACATATGAGATAGGGTGCCTTGAAGTGGAGGAAAATGGCTCTTGCAGGCTCTTACAGTTCCACACAGATTGCCCACACCTCTCTCTGGGTGGCTTTTTGTGGAAAGCAGGCATGGCAGGGAGGAGGAGGGCATGCAGTGCAGTCTCTGGATGGAGAAGGGCAAGGTGGACTGGGTGGAAGTGTTAGGGAACAAAGGGAGGAAAGCAGCCTACTTTTCCTGCCAGATCAGTGCTCCTGAGAAGGCTTCCTCCACCTGATGGTTTTCTTACTGATTTATTTGAGTCAACAAACCAAACAAGATTTTTTTTCTTCTAGCAGGGCACAGGGGAATAAAGCTCATCTTGCTCCATATCGCATTTTATTATTGTTCATAAAAATGTTTAGACCAAAATAATTAATTGTCTTCAAACAGGCCTCAGAAGTTGCACCCAAAAATGTGTAACCTCCAAACCTGCTTGGCCTTAAACCAAGGTGACAGGAAGGGTTCCTTTAGAACTGAGTAGAAATCTCCAACTGAACCAGAATGAATACATAATCTATTCAAATTTATCCCTATCATTATCAGTGATGGTATTTAAAAGAACAAGGAAACAGCTCATATTTCAGATTTCTGAAGGATTCTTGCCACTCTTACCACCAGAAATAATGCTCAGCAGTGTTTGAGGGGTGACAGGCATGGAAATCTGCAGTCACTGCAGTGTGGAAAAACACTTCAACATGTAGCTAGCGCTCCACAATGGAGCACTCCCGCCTAAAAAGCAAGTATTCCAAAACA